TTGAACTATTGGCCTACGAGGATTTCGACGTTGGATTGACTCGACAGCTCATCGCTGTTGCGGTTCTGATGGCCGTTTTGGCGGGGGCGGCCGAAGCCCTGGCCGCGTTCAGGGAGGGGTCCACGGGGTTGGCGCGACGGACGGTCGTCGTAGTTTGTGCTGAAGGAGCGGTGGCCGCCAATGGGGCCAGGCGCATCCCAAGACGTCATTTGGCGCAGAGCACGCGGGCTGCTGTTTTGCGGGTAGCCGGAGCTGAGTTGCATTCGGTTCATTTCGCGCTCGAGCAGGCTGTCGTCGCGTTGCGACATGGAGCCCGTCGTGGGGGTGCCGTTGGGGTTGGTGGAACTGCCGCTGTAGCCGAGTCCTTCGAGCGAGATGCCGCCTGGGCGGCCGATGGGGTGGCTGGCGGTCGAGGGCGCGGGCGAAGGCGTGTAGGAGCGGAGGTCGGCGTAGGACTTGGCGCCGCGGAGGTTGGGCACTGCGTTCAAGCCGCCGGGCGAGTCGGGGAATCCGAGAAGACCTGATGGCTGCCTGTTGAAGGCGTTGTAGAATCCACCCTCGGCGCGCACATCGCTGAAGTCGGTGGTCGCTGCGCGGTTGAGGTTGCGGCGAGGCTGCTCCATGTGGTTGCTGGGCATCTGCGGCATCGGAGGGCTGAGGCCCTGGTTGTCGTGGACCTTGAAAATATGCACCTGTCGCTGTTCGCCGGTGCCCTTGGACACATGCGCGAGGCCTAGCTGATGAGCTAGAGTGTGGACGGTGCGGCGTTGGAGAGGCGCCAGATTCGGGGGGAACGTCATGCTGTCGCGCTCCTTGGTCTCCTTGAACAAAAGCAATTGCGTGTAGAATTGGAGCACTTGGGGGTCGTTGAGGTCGACATCTAAATAGTCGTTAGCAATGTTCCCGTCATATGTCCCGTCCGCAAACATACCAACAGTCTTTGATGCCGATCCAGCTCGCATGGCGGAAACTGGCGATGGCGATGTAGCGGGCATGTGCGAGGCAAGGGAGCCAAACGAAGCCTGTGATTGCAGACCGCCGCCGAGGGGCCGGTGCTGCTCCTCGAGCTGTCCACGGCGTTCACGCTTCTCCCGCTCGATACGCTCCCGCTCGGCCAATGGCAGCATCTTCTTGTACTCGACACGCAGCTTCCGGCCGTTGAGCTCAAAGTGGTTCATCGACTCGATGACGGCGGCCGTCTCCTCGGCAGTGGTGAAGTTGGCAAAGGCCAGACCCCTGAAGACGCCGTTGTCGAAGTGGTAGTTGAAGGCATAGGGCAGGGGTAGGCGCAGTTCCGTCATGAGGGAGACCAGCTGCTCCTTCTTGACGGCAAAGGGGATGTTCTTGATGACGATAGCGGTGGGGATGAGCTCTTCGTCGACGTCGTGGCCGTAGCTCGTGTTCTGCATGGCGCTGAGGTTGTTGTTGCCCAGGGCAAAGCTAGGCAGGCCTTGGGGCTGCTGGTCCATCCATCCCTATATAGTCAGTATTGACGCCATTCATCTATCGAGTATCGGGTGTGCTTACTGATGGCAGTGCGCTCCGCCCTCCGCCGCGCTGCTGCGACTTGATGCGGGCCTGCTGGGCGCCCCCGAGCGAGCCCAGGCCCTGGTTCTGGGAGAAGGCGTTGGTGTTCCAGCCTTGGGGCGCGCCCATGTCGTAGCCGTAGGCGCCGGCGTGCATGGTCTGGTTGAGGCGCTCGTAGTTGCGCGGCTGGTCGTACCTCTGCTGGTGGTCGTCTTGCGCGTACATGGCGTTGGGCTGCTGGACCTGCTGGTAGGCGTCGAACTGGCGAGAGGGCATGCGGTGCAGGGTGCCAGAGTGGGGCTGGTTCCGTTGGGCAATGGGCGAGCGCGACGTCGACTGGTCGTACGCCGACGAGTACATTATATGTGTGCGGCGAGGGAGGGCCGGGGCGGTGTTTGGGTGCAGAGCAAGAAAATTAACAGCGGAGGTAAGAGTAGCACGTGGTCCAAGCTCGTAATGTCGTGAAATGAGCGGAAGGCGGCCGTCGCAAACAGGTCAGGTCGGATCGGAGGAGAAAAGGGGTCGGCGTGAGCTCGAGCTTGCGTGGTCGAGGTTGGCTGGCGATGGTAATAATCAGGGATGCCTGGCGGACCCAGCGCAGTCGTCCCCTTTCGAGCCGCACTTTTCGGTGGGACGCGAACAACAGGCTAGCAGACGTCAGAGGGCTTCAATATCGCTAACACGCGACAGGGTGGATGCGTAGCTGGCTGGATGCGACGACGATGCCCGCCGCTTGGAAGCAAAAGTTGTCCTGACACCCGCTAACGGCGCGGGGAGACGGCTGCACACGTGCCCGCGACGACAGAGGGCAGCTGTTTCAATAGTCTCGCGCGCAGCGAACGGCTGGCCAGGTCAGGAGTCAGCGACTTATCCATCTTGATTGGCTGACGCCCATCGTAAACCATCTCCCGCTGCACTCTGCCTAGGTCGTGTTTGGTATTAAGTTGTGTATACGGCTTGTTCCTCCCGCCGTCTGAGGCCGCTACCTCTTCGCCGCCCTCTACCATGACATCTCTCTTAAAATACCCTCGTCCGCACAGATGCCCTGGCCAGAGCCCAACACCTCCCATTACTCATGCCCACCATGTCCGCCCACGCGCCACATCACCGCCCTCCCTGGACGGGCCAGCCTCACAAAAGGGCGACAGAGGGATGGCCCGGCGTTCTGGAAGTCGCCAGGTGGCGGGCCGTAGCGTTAGCTCCCTGCCAATAACGTGGAACAACACCAACTCTGCTTTTCCCTTCCATCAACGCCTGCCAGAAGTGTCTGCTGTCAACGGCGTCGAGACAGGCCAAATCTGCCCCGTCGTGAACTCGAGGGACCTGCTCCTTTGGCCAGAATCCTCCGAGACGCTCGGGGTGCATGATGAGCACACGCGACGTCGTCAGCTGCACCCTGCCACCGGTAATCTCCCCTGGTACGGTTCATCGTGCTGCACCCCAGATGTGCAACTGGAATAAGGCTGCATATTCACTGCCATCCCTTGACACTGCTTGTTCACATTCTATTGTGGTCTACACATAACTCTGTATAATCTTCATCCACGCTGCGCAGCCCACGCCGCACAGTACACTCACTCATCTCATTTGACAGACCATCTGAAAGCTAGGCATATACTCGGCCATGGAAGACGATCAGGGTCGGCTTCCCGCTTTTATCAAGTTTCCGACTGGCTGAGCACAGCAGATGTGGTTTGTAGGATCGCTTAGCCTGCATGCATAGCTGATCATGTGAATCCGGCCACTGGGCCGAACACCACTCTCGGGCGCGACGTCTCGCCATCATCCCTTTTCTGCGGACTGGTTACGCGACAGACATCGTGGCTGTGCTTACATCAATTGCATGCCCCTTCAGTCCTCAAAGTCGAGCAGCCGCGAGAATTCAGTCTCGCCGACGCGTCGGAACTCGGCTCCCGCTGCAAACTGCCCACTTGCTTCCCACGCTTGCATGGTCGCCTGGTCGTATGGCCCATTAATCTCACCTTCTGGTGCGTTGAGCCAGTGGAACTCCCACTGCACTGTCTCCGGGTTCGGGTTCTTCCAATCCTCTCCAGTCTCACGCTTGTACTGCCGCATAATGGATTCGCGGGGGAGTTCGTAAATATCCTCGACGCCGCGATCAGACAGCCGACTGGCGCATTCGGTTATAGAATCAATCACCCCCTTTGCCTGGATCGCCGCAGCATCCTGCGATGGATCTGAATCGACCTCCATAGCCTGGCTCTTCTTCTTCTTGGCCCAGTTCTTGGCTGGCTTCTTCGGTGCTGCCTTGCCGTATCGGACGAGAGCCTCCATGGGCGTCTCGCCAACGTCCAGGTGCGTGATAAGGGTCGATAGAACGTCGCTGGTCACGATGGAGTCTTCGGCTCGTTCTCGTGCCTTTCGCTCGGCATCCAGCTTGTCTTGCGCCTCCTTTGCCTTTTTGATGTCCTTCTTCGATATGCCGTCCAACCACGAGTCTTGGGCAGCTTCAGGGTCAAAAGCCTTGCGCACAAAGTTTCCTGCTTCGTCAAAACGACCCTCTTCCTGCTCGGCGCTCATGTTGAAAGCATCCAGCTTGGGCGCATGCTTCTTCTTGCCACCTGCACCTATTTCCTCGTCGACGTCGGATGGGACGTGGTCGCGCAACTCGTCATCTCCCTCGTCGCTGCTACTCTCTACTTCATCGGTTCTGCTCTTCGAACCCTTGGTGAAGTCGACAGCTACGTGGCCCCCAGACTTGCTGTTCGCTTCCTGACCCTCGATCTCGGCATCGTCCAGGAAGCGCAACTTCTTCTTCTTGGTCTGATCTCTGCGCAGTCCCTCGTCCATCTCATCGTCCTTGTCATCCTCGGCGAACATGTCGTCGTCATCGTCCTCGGTTTTGGGCGGCTCGTCCTTGTTGGGTCGGGCTTCTGCGCGCGCCTCGAAGTTCTCCGTGGAGCTATCTGAGTCGTAGCCGTCGATGTTGACTGCGTTCCGCTTGATGCCTGCGCCTTTTCCTATAACGTCAGCCTCGAGAGCAGGATCTTCCTCATCCTCTGCATCCGGAGCCAGCGTGGAGGGGTTGCGCGGGTCGAAGCGGGGTTTCTTGGTGGAATGTTCGTCGGCGTCCATGTGGTGGGTTCGCGTGAATTGCTCGCCAGCGCGCTTCGGTCGCGCGGGATTGTATGTTCCACTAGAGCTGGCCATGACGATTAGCAACGTTACGCGGACTTGCGGCGTCGAGGTTTGGCGATATGTGAGTCCAGGCGGCCAGGCAGTGACGTCGGACGCGATTAATTTGAAGCTTGGGCCATGACGCGCTAATCGGAGTTTAGCGGACTTCTCACTGGCTCAAACGGCCCGCTGTACTGCTGCCAACCACGGTCGTCATCCCAGGCCTCTCGTCAATACGTATTACTTCTACCACCTGCCCGCCGTTACCTAACAATACCCGAACCATTCACTGCCCTCTAAAAGATCATCTGACTCACTAATCCCGCACACTCAAAATGGTAAGAGCGACCCAACCACCTTCTTTGTCCTACACTCACCACGAACAGTTCAACCCCAACTTTTACGACCAAGACGATCCCATGGCCATGTACCAGTCCCTCGCCGCACGTCGCGGCGGCGCTCCTCGACGCTTCGATGAGTACTTTCGATGCTATCCCATCGTCATGTTGCCTGGCCCGGAGCGCCACGAGGCAAACCACGGCGGCAAAGTGTTCCTCCCTCCGAGTGCTCTCGACAAGCTCACCAGGCTGCACATCACATACCCTATGCTCTTCGAGCTCATAAACGGCAAGGCGGACGGGAAGAAGACACACGCAGGTGTGCTGGAATTCATCGCAGAAGAAGGCAAGATCTACCTGCCATACTGGCTTATGGAGACACTCCAGCTGGAGCCCGGTGACTTGCTACAAGTCAAGTCGACCGACATCCCTCTCGGCACCTTTATCAAGCTGCAACCACAAGACTCCTCCTTCCTCGACATCTCCGATCCCAAGGCCGTACTCGAAAACGCCTTCCGCAACTTCTCTTGCCTTACAGTCGGCGACATATTCACATTTTCATACAACGACAACGTGTATAGCATAGCAGTGTTGGAGGCCAAGCCAGAACACCCAAACAAGGCCGTCTGTACCATCGAGACTGATCTGTCAGTCGACTTCGCTCCCCCAGTAGGCTACCAAGAGCCCCAAAGGAACAGTGGCACAAGCACACCGCGCAGTGGAAAGGGCGTCATGAGCGGCAAAGGCGGCACACTACACGCTCAAGGCACCATGGCGGACGCGATCAACTACGCGGCTATCGCACCATCATCGACGACCGCAGCCAACGGAGCCAAGGCCACTTCCTCAAATTTCCTCACCACCGGCCACAAGCTGCTCAAGAAGGGCAGCAAGGCGCCCACCCCGCAAGCGTCCACCCCCATCGCGGGACAGTCCTCAAATCCGCCCACGGCAGTACGACGCACCAACGGCCCGCAGCCGCTCAGACTACCACCCAACAAACTGTTCTTCGGGTACGAGATCAAGCCACTCAAGGGCAAGGAGGAGGAAGGCGAGCAGAAAGATTCGAAGCATTTTGAAGGATCAGGGCAGTCTCTGCGCAAGAAGAAGGGCGACAAATGAGGTAGATACCCGATTTGATGGAACTTGCGAATATTCAGAGAGCAGCATTATGTGGCGCTGATAACGGGTACTGGGATAAGGACATGGCGTACGGCGTTTGATACCTACAATTCTAGTCATGTGTGAAATAAATGAAGCACTTATTTCCTCTCTTTCTTATGGTGTTCAACTCTGCGTATATGTCCAGTTCACTAACTTGCAGGAATAGTTCATGCGCCTCTAATCTGCAGTTTAACATTCTCTAAGCCATAGCTGCATCCATCTTTTCCCTCGTCCGTCCTAAACAGATATACCTCACTCTTCAAACACCTCAAACAACACAAGCATGAACGGATGCAAGAGTATTATATCATCAATGAAATTTTCTTGCTCAAGCTAGACGATCAAGTCAAGTGCTAAGCGCATCTCCACCGCCAAAGTAAATCCGGCAGAAGCAAGTCTGTCTCGCGTACCAAAGCCCCAGTACCGTCGTCAGACCGTGTATCTTCCACTAAACTTGTGACTTCTGATGCAGCATGCGAACTTGCATGCGCTGCGGATGCAGAACTCGTGATCTCCCCTGAACTAGAGAACGGGGGAAAGAAACAGAGATAGTGAGGTAGAGGGGAGAGAGATGGAGACAGCCTAAACCATCTCATCAAGCTCCTCATCAAGAACCTCCTCTTTGACACCGACACACTTTCCGTCACCACCTTCCTCACTACCATCTTCTTCAACCGCGTCCTCAACACTCTCCTCCTTCTTGCTCTTGGTCTTAGCCTTTTTGGCACGCGGTTTCTTACTCGGCGTAGCCACCTCGTCCTCATCTACACCCTCACCATCACCTCCATCGCCCTCGAGAATACCAGCGCCACGTTTCTTGCCACTGGCTGTCTTGTTGTTGGGTGTCTTGCGCGGAGTAGTAACGGGCGTCTTTGCCTTAGCGCCGCCTTCGGGTAGTGTCCAGCCGTATTCTTCGTAGAGTTTGCGTTGTTCGACGCGGAGGAGGGAGACGCGGACTTGGACGCCTTTGATGGATGTTCCTGGGTGGGTGGGGGGTTAGTTAGGTTGGGGGGATGGATGAGGTGGGGGATGGAGATGGGAAAAACTAACCAGGAAATACGCCAACGATACGCTCGTAGTCTTCGGCTGTGAGGTAACGTCCTTGTGTCAAGATGAGGAGCTACATGGGAAGGAAGCTGTTAGTCCTGATCTACCAGTCCCGAGGTCATCAGGCATCTTGAGCGAAGGCTTACCTTCTTCTCGTTCTCCAGCGTCCAGCGGAATGCCTGAGGTGGGTGTTAGTTGCTGGCTCGATGAGTGAGTACTGGAGGTGGGGAGGAACATACGCCGCCTTCGGCTGCTGCGGTCTTCTTCTTGGGTGGCATGGTCGGTGACTTGTTGGTTGCTTTGGAGACTGGGATTGGATGTTGGTTTGGTGTGGGGTCGTAGATGGTGTAAGAGAGAGGAAGAGTGGGAGAGGGATCGAGTCGAGAGACGAGCGGGAGTAAGCGATTTATACGTGTCTCGAGTGCGAGGTTTAGAGTCTGGCTGGTGCTTAAAGTGGAAAGAGGGGAGAGGTGAGGTGAGAGTGAGATTCTACTTGATTTCCTTTTCGAGGTGGAAGAGTCACCTTCACCTTTGCATTTGACTCACAGGGAAGAGAGACACAGGAGATACGCACTGGTTATCTTGATTTTCAGGGTAAGATAAATCCCGCAGATTGTGCTGAATGATTCATACACCGCCCCGGGGCCAGAATGCGCACTAATTAAGGCAGTCATGCTCTAGATATCGATCCTAATGAAGTCGTATACGTAGAAACCGACTATTCTCGGCCCAAGTTTGACGTCTTAGTATCTCAGAAGATCTACATATCCTCATCAAGAACCTCCTCTTTGACCTTCCCACTATCCTCCTCTTCGACTTCAGCCTCAACACTCTCCTCTTTCTTTGCCTTGGACTTCCTGCCACGCGGCTTCTTCGCCTTCGGAGTCTCCTCCTCAACGTCATCTCCATCACCAGCCTCTTCCTCAGCATCCCTCTTCTTGTTCTTGCGCGGCGTAGGCGTCTTCTTCAGCACTGCACCGCCATCAGGAAGCGTCCAGCCGTACTCATCGAAGAGCTTGCGTTGCTCGACGCGGAAACGGGAGACTTTGATTTTGACGCCGTTGAGGTTTGTTCCTGTGGGAGGGGTTAGTGGGTTGCTGGAAGGAGGTTGGGTTGCTGGTGTGTAGGCGTGGTGTAGGTATAGGTGTGAAGGACAAAGAACGGAAGAGAGTGAAATGAAGACATACCCGGGAAGACGCTAACAAGACGCTCGTAATCTTCGCCCGTGAGGTAGCGGCCTTGAGTCAGGATGAGTAGCTGGTTTCGCTATGTCAATTCAAGGCTCGGTACGTGTATGTAGGATATAGTTTACCTTGTTTGCGTTCTCGAGTGTCCAGCGGAATGCCTGGTTGTGGACGTTAGTCAAGCTGCTGCAAAGGGATTGGGGTAGAAGAGCAACATACACCGCCTTCAGCATCGCCGCCCTCAGCTGCTGCGACCTTCTTCTTGGGAGGCATTGTTGTTGAAGTAGTTTGTTGGTATGGGGAACTGAGGTGGGAGTGCTGGGTTTATGTGGGTTGGTAGATGGTGTAAGAGAATGAGAGTGTGGTGGAGGAAGAAGAGGGGAGAGGGGAGAAGATATGAGGGACGTGTTTAAGTAGACGTTGAACAGTTCGGGATTGAGGATAGTGAGAGTGAGATCCGAATCTAGATCCGTGCAAGATAACGAGTTTGTAAGCTCACCTTCACCTTTGCACACTCAGCGCGAAAATGTAAAATCACGAAAGACGAATTCGGAAATGGCTTTTGTCAGGCTGATGAAATGCCGCAGATGCTGCAAAGTGCATTTGTACCGCCAGTTTGCTAATGTTCGACGCAGTGCCTTACTCAAATATTCCTCATCATGAAGAATTCAGTAGAACCCGTCATGCGCTCACGTGCCTGTCCTCTCAAGCGCCCAGAATTCCTAAACACCCTCTTCAAGCAGCTCCTCCTTGACAACGCCATCACCCCCATTTAGCTCACGGTACAGCTCACCACCAAGTCCGTCATCCTCCTCGACCTCCTTCTTAACAACCTCCTTCTTCGGCTTGCGGGCACGCGGCTTCTTGGTAGGCGACTCCATCTCACCAGCTACCTCAGCGTCACCACCCTCCTCACCCTTCTCCCTCTTCTTCGACGACTTGCCCGGAGTCTTCGTAGGAGTCTTCTCCGCGTCACCAGGGAGAGGCCAATCTAGCTTCTCACACAGCGCGCGCTGCTCCTTGCGCATCTTGATGAATCGCTGGCGGATCGCGTCCCAGTTGGTGCCGGCTAATGAGTCGTACGTTAGTATCGCAGACAATACGGATTGGGGAGTGGGCAGTGGAAACGTACCGGGACCAGGGAAGGCGCCGACCATCTTGTGATAGTCGTCTTTGGTGAGGGTGCCGCGGTTCATGGCTAGTAGGAGGAGCTAGGAATGTGGGTTAGTGGGCTGTGAGGTAAGGTGAGGTGAGGTATTGGAGGATGTGGGATGGGACTTACGGTGCGCTCGTTTTCGGCGGTCCAGCGGAATTTCTGGGAGGGTTGTTAGTAAATGTGTATGTAAGTGGAATTGGCGTGTACTTACGCCATCGCCGCCAGCTTCGGCACCGTCATCGCCGGTCTTCTTCTTTGGTGGCATGGTGGTTGTTGAACGGATTGATCGTCGAAGGCGACTGCAAGTGATACGTACTGAGTGCTGTACGAAGTATCTGACAAGAGAAGATTCGGCGGTGGTGGGAAGAAGGACAGAAGGTTTGTGTGAGAGCCGTATCAAGATAAGCCACTAGGCAACCAGGGGTGACGAGGAAAAGTGAGAGTGAGATACCGTGCCGCGTTGCGCTGTGCTACAGACCATCAACAAACAAGTGCGCCTTCACCGTGATTTCCAGCAGCGAAGCATCGGCGCAAGAACAGCACTGACGTACGGAGAGCAAGGATGTCTACATTGCAGCCAAGTCAAGAACACCCCTCTTCAAAATCTCATAATATTCTTCTTGTCTATCCAAACCCCAGCCCCAATATATACACACCCTTCCCCCCGCACCCATCCACCTCATCTCCTCCCACCCCCAATCCTCCTCACATCCTCATCCCCTCAGCAATAATCTTATACTCCTTCCTCTTCTTCTGCATCCCGCTCCCCCCAAACCTAACCTTCGCAACCCCAATCCACTTGCTCAGCCCCGCGAAAAGCATATTCTCGCCCACATACGCCGCCGCAAAATTGCCCAACCCCAGCACCAGAATAAACACCTTGAACTGCGTATCCAAAAACGTCAACTCCATCGCCGACATAACCCACGCGGCGGGGTCAAACAGCATATACAGCGTAATGGCGAGGGTAACGAAGATGGTGGTGATAAAGGGCAAGTTGCGGCCCATGGGCTCGCGGTAAGGTTTCCCGACGCTGAGGACGACGGCGGAGAAGATGTATTGGAAGCAACTTGTTAGGAACAAGGCTGTGTTCTGGCTGTTCAAGCTGTTGCTGTGGTTGGGGTCCAGGACGGGGGGCATGTACCATTCCTGTTTCTGGACGTAGTGGAAGGCTATGAATTGGACGAGGATACACAGCACCATTTGGCCCAGTAGCGGAGTAAGCACCTTTCGTGATACGAGGTTGGCAGTCGGACGTTTGCGGCTGAGGATCGGGTAGGCGCCGGACCAGCCCATGAAGATGGCGATGGGCAGGATGAGCAGCAGGTCGATGAAGAGGAATTGGAAGTCGCCGAGGTTACTCGCGCTGGCGTAGAGGAAGGAGACGGAGCAGAATTGGATGGCGCTGTAGAGCGACATGTATTTGAAACAGCTGAAGCTCGTGACGAGGGCGGCGCGACCTTCTTTGATGACTTGCGGCACGCAAGAAATGTCGAATTGGCGGGATGTGAAGGGCGCGGCGACCGAGGCCTCAGCTTCGGAGAGGGAGATACCCACGTCGGCCGCTTTGA